ATACCCGACTGTCGCTATACGTGTTTGTCTCTGTGTTTCCATATGAAAATACAATGAAAACAATCGGTTAAACAACTGTAACAACGCTTTGTTTCGTGATTTCAGTCAAGTCGGCGGCAGATTGATAGTGTGTTTCCTTCATACATTGATTAATGAAAACATTTGCTCCCGATTTTACGCAATAGCATCCGCCATACCTCCCCGATGACACATGGCACAGTGGATAAAGGCGTTGGTTAGATCCCGTGACAGGACCCAAAGAATGTGAGTTCAATACCCGGTTAAGGCAACGGAGAGGGGAATTAACAGGAGATAACTGATAGCTGACACCCACTAAACATATCACGTGGAACTAGAACAGTCTACCACAGCGAGCGAAATAAAGGGTTCAGTTCGACATTCCAACCACCTGAAGAAGGCAGGAGCGTACAACGGCCGAAACGTTGTAATAAATATGGCGACAAAGATAGTCTGAATAATGTAAATAGTGTGCGACGCTTATAGTTATATCTCCCCTTCTTCTACATATATATATTAGGTTGGTGCAAAAATAATGACGTAATAATGTCGTTTTTGACGTTAAAAAATACGTCAAAAAACGACATTATTACGTCATTATTTTTGCACCAACCTAATAATTTCATGTACAAGAACATTACGTTAGAGTGATGGAGTCTTTAAAGGACAAATCATGTTACATAGAAATTTCAACTTGTCTAATAAGTTTAGAGGTCAGCAATCCTCGGACCCTGAGTCACATCCGTCCCACGTCCCATATCCGTCACGCGGAGGATATTTGTCCGGCCCGCCAAATTAACCGTAGTAGGAAATTTGCATTTTTTTTTTTTTTTTTTTTTTTGGTGATTTTGTTATTGTCCTGTTATTCCTGCATTTAAAGGACAGTTTCATTTGGGAAGACCAAGCCAGCGCAATGATGGATGTAGTGCCGTGCCGTTCCTTGAGACAGGGCACCTCTCAAAAATGTTTAATTTGCGCTCTGTCCGCAAACAGAGACACAACTGGGAGATAAAATCTAGTGTGATATTACTCTTTGATCCTAGTCCGATCGCCAGGGGTTTAAGTAAACCGTAACTCGAGTAACACTGATTGATTGGTCAATGGATGCCGAAAGTTACCCTATAAGGAAACGGCTAATATAACCCTTCCTAATAATAATAATAATAATGATAATAATAATGAAACAATTAAAAAATAACATGAACATATAAAATTATTTTCAACCTCGACATTCAAAGTGTTGGACTTTTAGCTTATTTAAGTGAATACTGGACAATCTCTTCACGCGACAGAAATGTAGTTCTACAGAAGGATGCTGAGAATACCATGGCACGAAATTTTAAAGAAAATGACAGCTGAAATTACTAGAGCACATAATGAGGAAAGAGGGTGTGGAATATTCGATACTCACAGGGCAGATGAAAGGCAAGAGGGACAGAGGAAAACAAAGCAGAACCTACCTAGTAAGCTTGAGTTTAATGGGTAGCGGGAAAAGGTTAAGGAAAGATAACAAAAAGAGAAAATTTATTAATATCTACAAAGGATAGGAAGTTGTGGAGAGACACGAACGCAAACGCCCTGAAGGGACACTGCAGCAAGAAGAAGAAGAAGGTGTAAGTGCTATCGTCTCGGCCACCCCGCAAAGGAGATAAATATATAGATGGATTGCTTCCATGCACATTTTGACAATAGATTAATGACATGTAAACGGCTTACTCGCCCAATCTCGCAATTGTCCAGCATTGAATTTTGGCGAAACTAATTTCTTTTGAAGTGGTCACTGGGTCCTGAACAAAGCGGAAATAATCATTTTAAGTCTCTGGCCATCGATGGGAGCGGAGGGAATGACCGCTCGCACATACGAAGAAGCCCTGCGGAACAAACAGACAAAAAATCTGCTAACATTTTCGATCCCTGGCTACGGGCACCTCCCCTCGTCAATAGATTGCAAGACCACGCTAGAAGTTCGGGACCCACGCTAAGAGTGGAAGAAAGGATCGCTTTGCATGAAATGGCTGGCTGGAACACTTCAAAGTCGTGAGGCGAAAGGACTGCCTGTATGACGATCGTGTTCTGATAAACAAACATCAAAATTATATTAACGCACTTTTTCATCTATTTCTCAAATGTATGTCTACCTGATTGAGTTAATGCCTGATATAATTTGGAAGCGCGTTCAAAACACAGGTCTTTATCTTCATATGGTACTTTGTTTGGATTCTTCTACGTCAAGTAACATTGTTCCGAATTTCAGCATGTAAGGTCGGTGAGGTTCTGTATTACGAATTAGAGTTTTGGGTTCAATTCAGTATTGTCTGATGGCCGTTTATATTTCAGGATATTCCTTTGATGGCGAAATATTCCATGTTCTGTATAATTTAAATGTGACAATTGCTACGCCAAGCTAAGTGAGATTCGGGGAGAAATTAATGCTTCTGTTAAGCCATTCTCCCAAAGAGGTCATCCATTATTGCGAACCAAAAATTGGAATTAAAACTTTTCGAGGCATTCATTATTTGCATCTGTGATAACAATCTCAGCAACAAACAGACATATTTTGAAAACCAACATGTGGGTTGTGGTGTAATGTACATCGGATCGGAATGAAAATCAAGTCGGACTTGTTACACTCACTGACGCACAAATAATCCAGGGAAAGGTATGAATCCAACTGTTCTCCGCCGACGTCTCCAGTATGGTTTGAATAACATGACAGACTGGGCCATGGTTGGCAACCAGTCTATCAGAGTAAAAAACGGCAACCTACTGCGGGAATATCTTCTGTCTAGTTAGTCGTGAAACGAAAAAGACATGATCGCCCAAGCGTGTGTCACGTATGCGATTTCACTGACTGAACACCTTATAAGATTTGAATTTTCATTTTTATTAGTGTTCACCAAATACAAGGATCAAGAGCTACTCAAGGTAGAGGCTTACTGAATGAGGTTGTTTTTGAACATCTTTTATGCGTATGTGGTTCTTTGATTTTGAATCTACTCCGAAGCCGTTGGCGCACGGCAGGGATGAAGGTTAATTTAAGCGTATTTATTTTTAGATAAATACGCCAGTAACTGAGAGAACTCCATTCGTTTTATCGCAGAGTATTGCATTAGTAGCAGCAATAGTCACTGTTTACAAACTCACACTATGGGAAACATTTGTATTTAATAATTAGTAAATTAGTATTTACTTAGTTTTAATTAAGTCCTACTAAAACATAATGCTAAAACTATTTAGGCCATTAGTTACATGGCGTCCAAATATTTGCAATTTCCTAAATCTTTAAACCCTTACCTAATATGACCATTAGACAGCGAAGTAGATTAAACTAACCCAGCAAAAACTTTATGGAAACCTTATGCAGCAGTTTTATTATTATTATTATTATTAATAGTAGTAGTAGTAGTAGTAGAAGTAGTATTGACACTTAGAGAAAAGTGCGATTTAAGAAAAGAAAAAGAAAATACACAGGGTTTAACAATGTTCAACAATATTTAGACAATATGTCTGTCTTCAATTTATTTTTAAAATTTCATACAAGTACACAGCAAAAAAGATGAGCTCATAATGTAAATTACAGGTCGGGAATACTAAAATCAAACTGGTACAGGGAGGGTTCTAACATGGGCCGGAAAGTGCGACACTGAGATTTGGATGGCTAAAGATGCATTCCAAAAGCTAAGCAGAGTATTAAGAGACAGGAAAATTTCGTTGGAAAATAAGAAAAAAAGCCCGTGATATCTGTCCTCCCGTATGACAGCTAAACAATCTCCTCAAAAACGAAGAAGAGACTTGAAACAACAGAAATGTGGTTCTATACAAAAATGCTGAGGATACCATGGGCCGAACATGTGAGCAACGACGAGGTTTTGGAGAGAATGGAAACAAAAAGGAATCTCATAATTATCATCAAGAAGAGACAGTTGAAATGTCTGAGGCACGCAATGAGGAAAGAAGGCTTAGAAAACTTGATACTCACAGGACAGATTGAGGGAAAGAGGGACAGACGAAAGCAGGGCGTAGCATACTTGATGGGCTTGAGCAATGTATGGCAGAACAGAGTTTGGAAGAAATAACCAAAAAAACTTAAGTGCTAAGGAAGAGGTAGAGAGCTATGATCGCCTACGCCCTGAAGGGACACGGCACATAGATGCAGAAGATAAAAATATCAAAAATCTACAAGAGCTTATAAATCTTTGCAGGAACGACGCTTCTTTTGAGAAAAACGGTTTTAATGGTAATCAACGCGTCAAAATGAATAAAACGCCACCAGCGTGAATGGCATGCAAGTAAAACGCGAGTAATATGATGGTGATCTGGCTCATCTTGTAATTTTCAGTTAGTTGATTAGCTACTAAGAGAAGTTAATCAAAAACTTTAGTATAAATCCTATGGGACTTTGCTGTTATTCCACCGGGAAGTTAGCAATTTGTATATGTAATTATCTCCATGCGTTTTAAGGGACGCAAGGTCGGTGGAATGGGGATAGTTTTTTTTTGTTTTTTTTTAATATGATAAGATTATTATTATTGAATATATGATAAATCACTTCAGGAAATTAATACCAAGCTAGTTAATTACTTTTGAAAAAAGCACAGAAACTTCAATTTTGAAGCTAGTTTTCGAAATCCAGAGTCTAGATCGGCCCAATCTTTTGGACTATCATCATCATCATCATCATCATTATCATCATCATCAGTCCCTTGACTGCTTCACGTTCTACGGTAGAAGCAGCCAAGAGCAGAAGAACCAGACAACCTCTTCCAGGAAGATTTGTCGGCGATGACCCTCAGGACATCCGGCATTGTCATGTCCGTACACTCTTTTGATGTTGCCTGACCTGCTTTTGCGTTGCCGTCCCATCTTGCGTCCACCTTTCAGCACTGCTTTGCTTGATGGTCTTACAGAGTCTGTTATGCCATATGACGCGGCCAAATCATACTGTCTTCCGATGTTTATTAGTAGCGAGGAGAGATTCATGT